AATTAATAATTAATGTAGGAAATTCCTTCTTCTTACATATTTTAAAAATAAATATACATTTTCATACTGTGCAAATTTTAATTTTATCATTTATAATTACTTTTCTTTCTTTAGTTGATGAAAATTGGGATGAAAGTAGTACAAATGATGATGATGAAAATGATAAACANTACAAATGATGAAGTTTATGATGATGATGAAAATGATAAAGATTATCAACCATATTCTCCTGTATTACATGAATCTAATAGTGATGAATCTAATAATTCAATATTTTCAAATCAAGTCCAAAATACATGTAAGTATAATTTAAAAAATGTGTTTTGTAATACTAATTTATTTTAATGTGAGTTGTGTTAATAAAATTGTTTAAAACACTCATTTTTGTATTATTTAAATCATTCAATGAACTATAATTCAAAATAATGAATCATTTTAATAAACAACTTTCTTTAACAAATTTTTAAAGTAAAATTATTTATAGTCATAAGTTTTAAAAATGTAATATATTAAAATATTAATATGTGATTTTTATTTTAAAGTTGAAGAAAATCATGATGAAAATGATGTCTCCATCCGACCTTATTCCAGAAAATTAAAACGGATTCGACAGCAAAATAGACAAAAAGGACTTCCATATACAACAGCAAAAGGCAAAAAAGTAGGTGCTCGATCTAGTGACAAGGAGTTGGTTGCATGTCGTATGAAATGTAAAGATTGGTTGCAAGACATTAAATCNCTCCCATTCTAGTAAGAATTTTAAAATAATTTTTTTATTTTTGTGTTTATTACATTAAATTTTGTTCTACAATTTAATTAGATAACAATATCACCAATAATCAAAATGAAGAATATAATTCTAGCAATAGTAAAGTTCAACTTTGGATTTCTAGTCATCAAGAACATTTGTATATAGGTAAGTTAAACAATAATATGTAGGTAGGTATACTTAAATTAACTTCATAATTTTAAATTCAATTTTATTTTTAATATTTTTTTTGAGTTTTAACAAAATAAATTAATTATAGTTACTATAAAATAAAAATTGTAGTCCATCTGGTATTACCAAGTTAGATGGTCGTGGAAAAAGATGTCCTGTTAACAAAACTACAGAAGAAGCAATTTTATATGTTCAAAAACATATTTCAACATTCCCAACATATGAAAGTCACTATACTCGCCGTACTAATGATACAAAGTATTTACCATCACATTTAAATCTTACTTTGATGTACAAATTATACCGTTCTGAGACTGAAAAACCAGTTAGTAAATCAATTTATGAAAGGGAATTCAAGAAAACAAAATTAAAATTTAAGTTGAGAAAAGCGGACACTTGTCATAAATGTGATGTTTTTAAAATGAAGATTAAAATGGAAACTAATGATGAAAACAAAAAAAAATTGATTGAAGATCATGATCACCATGTAAAAAATGCTGATGATGCATATAATACTAAAAAAATTGACAAAGATAAATCTAAATTAGACCCTTCAATCCTTTGTCTAACTTTTGATTTACAACAATGCTTGCCAACCCCATTTCTTGAAACGTCTGTTGCTTTTTATAAAAGATTGTATTGGACTTATAATCTTTCTACACATAATCTGGCTACTGGTCAGGCATCTTGTTACTTGTGGCACGAAACAATTGCTCGAAGAGGTGCTAACGAAATAGCATCATGTATTTATAAAGAACTTTCAAATATATCAAATAATGTGAAAACAATAATACTTTATTCAGACTCTTGTGCAGGCCAAAACAAAAATTCATACCTTTCTGCTATGTTTTTTACTATTCTTGAAAAAAAAAAATATATTGAACAAATAAATCACAAGTTTTTAACTCCTGGTCACACTCATATGGAGTGCGACTCAGATCACTCGCTAATAGAAAAACAGAAGAAACATTCCGCACTTCAAATTGCACATCCAAGAGACTGGGCTACACTTATAAGCTGTACAAACAAAAAGAAACCTTTTCTTGTGCATGAAATGGATCAGGAACATTTTTTTAATTTTGAAAAATTATTGAAAGGACCTTTAGTAGTACACAAAAAAGATGAAAATGGATATAAATTTGTTTGGCATGATGTTNATGAAAATGGAAATAAATTTGTTTGGCATGATGTTGCCTGGTTGCAATATAGAAGTAGTAACATTGGTACATTATACTACAAAACAAGTTTATCTGAAGATGAACCGTTTAAAATAGTAAATCTAAAAAGAAGAGGCCGTGTAAATAATTTTACATTGCAAAAAATGTATAATTCACTAGTTCCAATATCTAAAGAAAAAAAAAGAGATCTACTCCAACTTATCCCGTTAATACCAAATATTTACCATGATTTTTATAAAAATTTGAATAGTGATTCTACTGAGAAACAAGATTATGATCCAGATCTTGATGAAGATTTGTCTATTGATAATGATGATTAATTTTTTTATTTTAATTTCTTATAATTTTTTTACTTTTATTCTTTGTACTATTTTATTTTATATTATGTTTGTTCTATATCATAATAATATTATGATACATACACATTATTATATGTGTACAGTTAAATTATACTCAGAGGAATGAATGTATTAATCAAATGTGAAACAAAATTTTAAATAATATATCAAAATATTATTTTTAAATTAATTTGTTATACTAATTATTAATAAAGTAAGGTTTTACTAGAAAAACAATTTTTTTTTATGATTCTATTTCAACAAAAATAAATGTAAAGGTTATACCCTAGTATTTTGTTATTGTTTCCTTGATACGAATTTATTGAAATTCTAAGTTAAGTCAAAACGTATAGAATCTAAAAGTCATAAGTCATGATCGTAATGACTTATGTCAAAAGTTCAAAAATAAAAATGGCTCAAGTGCATTTATCTTGTAATTGCTAAATATGTACATATATCTATTACTACACATTTGTTTGACATGAAAAACTAATAATAAAAATATTTGATATAGGAATATAAACATTTAATTTACACTTGTAGCAATTTTCAAAATTTTATTTGTTTGTATTGAAAACCACCAAAAATTGACTTAAGCCCTTCTTCCCTGGAACCAAAGANTAACTATTCTTACCACTTCTGATTCTTCTCTCCTCATATCTAGTATATTTAAGTATTGTCAAAAAATTGATATAATTAATGATGGACAGGTCATTTGAATACTCAAATATCATTAAAAATAAGGAAATTTCCTTCCATTAAATATTATTCCATTATTGAAATAAAGAAATATACATTATGACTTAAAAAAAAACAAGATCTCTAAATTTACTCAATGGAAAGTTTTATTATTATTTTTAAGCCAATATCTATTGCACACAGAGGTTTATGCCTTAAAAAATATTGTTTCAGATGAAATGTATGATAATTTTGTTACATTTATAAGACTGTAATTAGCTATCATATAAAAAAATAACATTTAATAATTTTACTATTGTTGCCAAGGATGAAAAAAATTATTACTGTATTTTCAAAAATCTAAAAATTATAGTTCCATGTACAAAATATAATATTTTATAATAATTGTCATGTGATTATAGCATATTATTATAAAATTGAATGCAAACTTTATACAATTCTTGGTTCATCTTCATCGGTCCTTAATGTGTGAAAATGTTAAGATGCTTAGCAAAATGTTTAAGATATGGTTTATCAATGAAATTTGTTGCAAATTGTATGCATATATTATTACTAGGCTCCGCCTAGCTGGGGCTCCGCCCCAGACCCGGGGCCCTTCGAGCCTTACGCGCCTTCGGCGCGTAAGTCTCTTCGGGCCGTCATCATAAGTAGNTTTTTTTTGAACAAAACCGTGATTTTCCAAACCGGCTCGATAGCACATGGAAAGGGTAGTTGACAGTGTGACCATTCTAATGTGGTGTGGACAAGGATCACAGGTGATAGGGAAAATGATTGTCTAATAACTAATCATGTGTGTATATGCAACACTGACCCTACAGATAGACGACGCGCACTGTTATATGGTTACCTGTGACCTATACTCATGATAACTTTATTACGTTACAGGATATTTAGCCCAAAATAAAAATTTAATTTTTTGTTNTACGTTACAAGATATTTAGCCCAAAACAAAAATTTAATTTTTTGTTTTTTTTCTTAAAGTCTATGACCAAAATAAATCTATTTTAGTAAAAATAGTTGAAAATAATAAGACGATTATAATAAGTTCACGCAATTTAGATAGATGGTTTTTCATTTTTCATGAACTTTGCAGTTCATTATTCCAATGAACTGCACTAAAGTTTAATGCAATTTTTAGAAAAATGTAAAACTTATATTGTAAAGGAATAAATTGAACTAATGGTCAATATTGATGATTTACTTCTTACTAATTCTTTGTATCGAGAAGTTTGACCTATTTTGTGATCTATTTATAAAGTATATTGTGTATTTGTGTTTGGTATGCGACATAGTAATGTTGAAAAGCCTTACAGTATTGATATCTATCTAGAAACCTTTGTTGAAAAATTAAAATGGTTTAACTTGTGAAGGTAAACTTTTAAAAGTGGCTTAAAGCTTATCATTAAAATATAATTAATTATAGTATGTCTTAAATGTTCTATTGCAGTGGTCGGCAACCTTTTTTAATTCTCGGGCCACATTTACAAATTAAAAAGAATTCGCGGGCCNGTACAGAACGCCGTGGTATGATTGCGAATCGTAAAAAAAATCGTTTTCATGTCGTAAAGTGTCGCAAGAATTTCGGGCGGCGCGCCCTGGCGTCTCGAGCGCATGAAAAATAAAAAGCTCGTAAAACAGTGAACACTGAACGGATTGAATTGATTTTTTTATCATATCTCAGGAATGTCATTGGGCGGGTCTGATGAGAATTTCAAACCTTAAGTCGTAAAACGCTGGCGTCAGCGAGCGTTTTTCTCGAAAACGGTCGAAATTTTAAAACGCTCGCGGGCAAGCGGCAAAAATTTTCCGATATTCGCCAATAATTTTCCCGGAGTCTGGTGACCGAGTACTTTCGTTGAAAAAAAAATTTTTGAAAATCCGAGCACGCTAAGTAATTTTCCCAGAAAAGCGTTTTTTTCCTTGTTCTATTATATAATAAGATAAATAATCGGTTGGCAATCTATATTGTAAACAAGTAATTGTACTTGAACAAACCTNTTAGAATTTAAAGCGGGCCGTATTCAATAGCCACGCGGGCCGGATACGGCCCGCGGGCCGCCGGTTGCCGACCACTGTTCTATTGGATTATAAATATCTAGTATATTTAGGTCTTCTTCTTTTTCTTCTTTCTCACCTTAATCCCAACTACTTGGGGCCGGCCACTCCTTATCCTAAATTTCTACTTGACATGATTTCCCACATCATCTACGTTCACATCAGCTGTCCTCAAATCGCATTCAATAGCATCCCTCCATCTCTTTTTTGGTCTTCTTCTACTTCTTCTTCCTTCAACATTCATTTCTATAACTATTCTTACCACTTCCGATTCTGCTCTCCTCATATCTAGTATATTTAAGTATTGTCAAAAAATTGATATAATTAATGGTGGACAGGTCATTTGAATACTCAAATATCATTAAAAATAAGGAAATTTCCTTCCATTAAATATTATTCCATTATTGAAATAAAGAAATATACATCATGACTTAAAAAAAAAACAAGATCTCTCAATTTACTCAATAGAAAGTTTTATTATTATTTTTAAATCAATATCTATTGCACACTGAGGTTTATGCCTTAAAAAATATTGTTTCAGATGAAATGTATGATAATTTTGTTACATTTATAAGACTGTAATTAGCTATCATATAAAAAAATAACATTTAATAATTTTACTATTGTTGCCAAGAATGAAAAAAATTATTACTGTATTTTCAAAAATCTAAAAATTATAGTTCCATGTACAAAATATAATATTTTATAATAATTGTCATGTGATTATAGCATATTATTATAAAATTGAATGCAAACTTTATACAATTCTTGGTTCATCTTCATCGGTCCTTAATGTGTGAAAATGTTAAGATGCTTAGCAAAATGTTTAAGATATGGTTTATCAATGAAATTTGTTGCAAATTGTATGCATATATTATTATAAATAATCGGTTGGCAATCTATATTATAAACAAGTAATTGTACTTGAACAAACTTAACAACTTGAAATAGATTAAAATAACTATGGTAAGCCTAGTTCAATTTTTAACTTGTCCATGGTACATTGTATTATTATTACCCAGTACCGACAGATGTACAGATGTCTTAAATCGGTTNTTGAATACTCAAATATCATTAAAAATAAGGAAATTTCCTTCCATTAAATATTATTCCATTATTGAAATAAAGAAATATACATCATGACTTAAAAAAAAAACAAGATCTCTCAATTTACTCAATAGAAAGTTTTATTATTATTTTTAAATCAATATCTATTGCACACTGAGGTTTATGCCTTAAAAAATATTGTTTCAGATGAAATGTATGATAATTTTGTTACATTTATAAGACTGTAATTAGCTATCATATAAAAAAATAACATTTAATAATTTTACTATTGTTGCCAAGAATGAAAAAAATTATTACTGTATTTTCAAAAATCTAAAAATTATAGTTCCATGTACAAAATATAATATTTTATAATAATTGTCATGTGATTATAGCATATTATTATAAAATTGAATGCAAACTTTATACAATTCTTGGTTCATCTTCATCGGTCCTTAATGTGTGAAAATGTTAAGATGCTTAGCAAAATGTTTAAGATATGGTTTATCAATGAAATTTGTTGCAAATTGTATGCATATATTATTATAAATAATCGGTTGGCAATCTATATTATAAACAAGTAATTGTACTTGAACAAACTTAACAACTTGAAATAGATTAAAATAACTATGGTAAGCCTAGTTCAATTTTTAACTTGTCCATGGTACATTGTATTATTATTACCCAGTACCGACAGATGTACAGATGTCTTAAATGGGTTTAAGAGATATACTTCTAAAATTTTGGGGAAAGGAGAAAAAAATTTGAACAATTTTTATTAAATTGTGCTTATTGATAAAACTTTTGGTGTCTTGATGGGAAATCCGACTAGGCCCGTGCACAAGCCTAAAGAAGATGCTTAACAGTTGACTATTGGTTACCGTAACAGGATTGGAGTTATGGTCATAAATAGGCATCTATTTATATTCCTTCATATAAAAATCTTTTGATATTTTTTTGTTTCATATACTTAATATTTAATTAATTGAATCATTTTTACAATTCATCTTTTATACCATAAAAAAATAAAAGTGACAATACCCTTCATTTTTACTTTTTAATAACAACATANACGGTCGAAATTTTAAAACGCTCGAGGGCAAGCGGCAAAAATTTTCCGACCTTCGCCAATAATTTTCCCGGAGTCTGGTGACCGAGTACTTTCGTTGAAAAAAAAATTTTTGAAAATCCGAGCACGCTAAGTAATTTTCCCAGAAAAGCGTTTTTTTCCTTGTTCTATTATATAATAAGATAAATAATCGGTTGGCAATCTATATTGTAAACAAGTAATTGTACTTGAACAAACCTAACAACTTGAAATAGATTAAAATAACTATGGTAAGCCTAGTTCAATTTTTAACTTGTCCATGGTACATTGTATTATTATTACCCAGTACCGACAGATGTACAGATGTCTTAAATGGGTTTAAGAGATATACTTCTAAAATTTTGGGGAAAGGAGAAAAAAATTTGAACAATTTTTATTAAATTGTGCTTATTGATAAAACTTTTGGTGTCTTGATGGGAAATCCGACTAGGCCCGTGCACAAGCCTAAAGAAGACGCTTAACAGTTGACTATTGGTTACCGTAACAGGATTGGAGTTATATAGAATAGGCATCTATTTATATTCCTTCATATAAAAATTTTTTGATATTTTTTTGTTTCATATACTTAATATTTAATTAATTGAATCATTTTTATAATTCATCTTTTATACCATAAAAAAATAAAAGTGACAATACCCTTCATCTTTACTTTTTAATAACAACATACATATTTAACTAACTTATAATAAAAAATAGTGACTATGGTTAAGATACCTTTTTCTTTGAGGAGGCGCTATAACCCTTAATAAATTAAAAAAACGACAGAAAAAAAAATTAACTAAGGAAATGGCTGGTAAATTACATTTTTAGAGTCATTATTATAGTTATAATTTATTAGTAATTATACATAAATTATGACATTTATATCAAATAGTGATTGGTGTAACTATAATGAAATATTTGTGGGCGCTTATTGTATTTTCTCTCATCTAAAAAATATTTTATGCAATAATATATAAAATTGTCTACATTTTTTTCTACAAATTCATCAACTGGGGGTTAAGCTCCTTTCTCTAGTTGAAAAAAAATTATATTTTATTAAATAAAAGAATAACAAACGTTAATTGAAATATTTAATTATTAGTTCAATTAAACTTTTCTATGACCTAAATTTAATTAAGAGACCAATAACTATAGTAATCGTAGACTTTAAGTAAAAAAAAAATTAATTAGGAACTTGAAAAAATTGCAATAAATAAAGTGTAATATAGTGACTCATCACGTTACCAGAAAGGAAGTTAGTACATGGGGTTACTCTATAATAACCGGAAACAATTTATTCATGTCAAAATTAATCAAATGTCCCTTCGTAAAGTTTACGTTTCCTTTTAATAGGATGTAACAGTATAACACGTATAGTTAACGTAATTATAATTTATCTGCATACTTATTTTGTATCTCTAAAATGAATTTCATAATATTAATAAGCAGTAACAGTAAACTTGATTGCTAATATGTAAAAAAGATTTTCCTAATATATTTTTTTTGAAGGGAAAACCCTGTATACAAAATCTTTATATTAAGTTTTTGTATATTTAAATTTCTCCTTAAAATTATCGATTCTAAATTTGTCAACATCAATTTCATACTAAATTTGTCAACATCAATTTCATACAAAATTTGTTTACTATAATAAGTATTTATTCGTGTATTATACTTAAAAATATTATAATATAGATTTCATTAAAATATGTGACGTATTAACTGTAGTCTCCCATTGGAAATTTAAATTAAAATATAAAATATATAGAATGTTCAGTAAATAAGGAAACGTAAATTGTTACAATCAAAGAGAACAACAGAAACCTGTTTTCTTACTTTCTGAACACCTATATATTGACCAAATGTATATATGTAATGCAATTTAAAAAAAATTATATTGATACATACATTTTTTAATAAATTATGTAAATTTAAAGTTGAAAAAATAAAATATGAAAAAAAAAATTAATTACAAAGTTAGCATGTTTTTTTAACTACGGTAACCATTTACACAATGAAGATACGTAATTCGTAATTATCGTAATTCAATGTAATTCGTCAGAAAATTTTTTTTAACTTATAGTACGTAACATGAGCTTTAATGTAATATGTATTTGAAGCTTGGAGTATTTCTGAAACATTTTCAATATTTATGTTGAAAAAGTTAAATTTTCATGCAGAACTTTATAATTTAAATATTCCCTTGTAGATTGAGGAGGATCCGGTTTTCAATAAAATTACATCAAACAAAAGGGATATATCTAAATACTTATATAAAAAAAATTATTCAAAGTTATTTGCGTTTTTTATTTAACTTTATCTTTGATAAGGATACATTCTAACACAACATTCTATTCAATTCATCGAAAATTAACCACATAAGTATTTAAAATCGCAAATACTTATAGTATCTGCGATTTTTAAAGTTAAGTAAAAGTAATAGCTTAGGATGCTACCCAAAGTATTAAAGTGAGGTAGAATTGTTTGACATGCATAATTTTAAAACTAATAATGTTTAAAATTATATATTATATAAATATGTGAATTTGGGTTCAATTTTATTCAATTAAAATTTTGTATATGAAGGCATATTTTTATTTTTAAATATTAATTATTTCTTGGGTTCGACCACTGAAATATTATTAATAATTATGTACTTGAAATCATTATCAAATACAAAAAAAAGATATTTATATTTAAATATCTTTTTTTAAACTATAGTAAAATTATACTATTTANATACAAAAAAAGATATTTAAATATAAAGTTATTTTTTTTAATAAAAAATTTATTGGTTACACTTTAAAAGTATTATTTATTTAAAACATTTATCAGCCATGTTAGTCCTTTTTTTAGTGATTGTAGCACCACTAACACTAAAAATTCTAAACTGATGTACTGCTTGGTAGAGGAGTGTTGTATTTAATGAAAAACTGGAAAAAAGTACAAATTTTTTAGTAAAATTATACTATTTAGATATATTCTAAGTATCTAATTAATCTCACTTTTTTTTATTGTGGGTAAGTTATATAAACATTCTAATTTTTTGCTATAGATGTGCCCAAGAATCTGTCAATTTCATAACTTACTACTGACTTTCCCTCGTAAACATGTTTTTTCCCCGTAAAGAAGCAAGATAAATCATCATGAATTTGGGCATAATCTGTAGAATCATATTTACTAAAATTTTGGTGCTACTCATAACACTCATTTTTTAAGTACTCGATGGCCATTTGTTTCTTTACTTCATTTTTAATCTAGACAGTTTTAAATTGTGGGTAGTAGACAGCAGCAGTATTTAAAAATTTGTTCATCAAAGAATCATAAAATCTTATTTTTATACCTAAAACACTTAAATATTAATATCAACAAAGTTGGTTTTTATTACAGTACTCAGTGTACAAAAATATAATTATTCAGAATAAAATAATGAATATATAACATAATGAAATATTTAGAAATATAAGATACTCATTAATATTATAGAANTAATACACATGGGATTGTAAATACAGGTAGCTAATTGGATTTTTATGACATTGCTGTCTCAGTCATAGATTGTTTATTATCAATTATTATTATCAATAGATATACTTTCTGTATTGTCAGTTAGTGTATTTATAAACTCATAATAATGTGCCTTACTACAATTGATAATAACAATGCTGTGTACCTGTTAATATCGATGTTATAAAAATCCAATTAACACCACTGCTTCCATACAATTAATTCCAATGTGTCTCGTTGAGTATTATTAAGTATACGCCAAGATTTTGTTTGATTAAATCAGCTGAATTTTTTTGAACACTTTTGTTTGTTCCACATAGCAGTAGGCTTGGCAAAAGTAATTCTGAACTGGTTTTTGAAAGTAGTATTAAACAAAGCATTTTTAAAGTCCTAAACAGAAATTGTTATTTAAACAATTAAAATATTTGATCTAAAATTTTACTTGTTAAATGTACAATGTATGGTTATCTAATTGTATTCATTTTTATTTGCCACTGTTGCTTTCTATTTAATTCTATGTGCACAAAATCGGTAATTTTGGGTAACGTTTACACTTTTGGTTTGTTTGGGTAACTTATACTGATAATGTTTATATCATTATTTATAATGCTCAAATTTATAACATCAATTTCCTCTACTTCATAATATAATTCTATTGATTAGTTGTTCCGCCATAAAATCACCATATGATTTAGCACTAGCTCAATAAAGTCATCATAGATCATTGTTATATTTAAAATATTATTATTTTATTAATTTACTAAATAAAGGTTAAATTATTATATAAAATTATAACTGTATATCTAAATTATAGAAAAAAAACTTAAAAACTATTATTATCATTATGATTCTATTATACTTAAGTAGTAGATACAATTTGAAAGGAAAAACAGAACAAAAACTGAAAGCCAGATTACCGAATGCTCTCTTGAACATTATTAGAACCATACGGTTTTATTTTGAACTTTGATCTGTCTTANAAATAATTTATAGTTATTAATTATATTAATTTAAATAAATCTTACTTAAAATATTTTACAAAATTAGAACCATTATATGTAGTACAATAACATAATTTATCTAAAATTTCAAACTTTATGTATACTTCATCTATAGCTTTAACTAAGATAGCAAATGTATGTGACCCTTCTAGTCTTCTCATTGTTAAAAGACTTGTAGTTCTTAATAAATCTTCTTTGATCCATGTTTTCCAATGTATGANACTTTAAAAAAAAGGAGGATGTTATGAATTCGGTTGTAATTTTTATGTTAATACGCTATTTATAAACCGATTCGAAAATTCTTTCTTTTAACACGCTTATACTAGTTTCACCTGTATGTATGTATGTATGTATGTAGCTCTCCAAGCGCCACGCGTTATTGCATATTCCGTCGTCTATGGCCTTGAGACTAGACTGTCATAACGCAACCACCCCACCCCACGCCTCGCTCACCTAACAACGACAACACTATTCCTATAAAAATTTATTTTTAGTTATCGTACCCGTACACGCGTGCTTGTCATCAATATTATATATATATAAACAAATTTTTATTTTGACTGACCAATACTGCCCGCGTTTAATGCGCCTTACGTATATATATTTATATATTCCTACTGTCATGAACTCATAACTATATGTAAATATTAATTTTAAGGAATTTGTAATATTAGAAAGTAAAAGTAAATAATAGATTATTATTAATTGTATTAGAAAGTATAACACTAGAAACATTGTTAATTGTATTGTTAATTGATTATTATTTCTAATAAAAAGGGACCTGACCACTCACTCGGTGGTCAGTGTACAATCGATGAATGTTACATTATAGTTATTATTTTGACTCTTCTCGATTACACTTATCCGCGTGGGCAAATTGGACGTAGAAACCCCAGTTTACCACATATTATTTGGCATCCCTGGTAAATTCGTTCAATTGGACATCTCGTATTATTTGGCATCCCTGGTAAATTCGTTCAGTTGGACATCTCGTATTATTTGGCAACCTTGAAAAATTGGCTCAATTAGATACATCATACTATTTGGAATCTCCGGCAAATTCGTTCAGTTGGACACCACAAGAAATTGGCAAATTATTGAAACCATCTCAAGAGATCTAACATTGGCACTTTCAACAATAATTGAAAAATGAAATATTTGTTTTTCGTGGCTCTTTTCTGGTAAATACAATTATTTTAGTATAGTTATTTTAGTTTAAGCAATAAATAGAATAAGTTTTTACTTTGTAAAATACTGCTATTGGTAAAATTTCTTTAAAAATTTTTTTTTTACGAACCTTACAAAAAAAATTAACAAAAAAATAATGGCTACACAAAATAATTTTTCTATTTTCGAATTAGCTCAATTAATAGGCGAACCTTTTGAAGGCAAATCTAATACTTTAAATAATTTCATAAATGCTGTAAATGATGCTTATATTATGGCTACGGCTGAACAGCATAGACAACTGTTTTTAGCCATTAAGCTGAAAATTAAAGGCAAAGCTAGAGAATTAATTGACTCTGTAGAAATAAAAGACTGGTCGGAACTTAAAATCCTTCTTATTGAAAATTATGGAGAAGAAATTCGTCCAGATCAACTTTGTGTTGAATTACAAACCATTAAACAGAATAAAAATGAAAAAATTAACGATAGAGTAGAAAAATTAGAATTTAAACTTTATCAGGCTTATACTTACAAATTAACTTGTAAAATAAAAAAATCAGCCATTAGGGATATGTGTGAAGATCAGGCCTTAGGCGCATTTAAAAGAGGTCTTCACAATAACCAAATTAAAATTATCGTGTTAGCTAATAATCCGAAAACTTTAAGTGATGCAATCGCAATTGCTAAACAAGAAGAATTAAGGCTTCATACTGAAAATAATTTAGTTAAGTATTCTTTTAATTCAAATAATCCTAATAACTCTTGTAAAATTTGCCATAAAAATAATCATAGTACATCAAGTTGTTTTTTTCGTAATAATAACAATACAAATAATTCTCAAAATACTCAGAATTTTAATAATAACTCTAATAAATTTAGTAATAATAAAAATAACAATAAAAAATTCTGCACTTATTGCAAGAAAAATTTTCATACTCGAGATGAATGTTATAAATTAAAAAATTCTAATAAGAACGAACCTAGTACTAGTAAAAAATTTAATTTTAATGATTCTAAACAAATATCTTCCGTAAATACATCTCAAAATGATATACCTTATTGCAAAATTTTTTCATCAGATTTGAATAAAAATGTTACATTTATGATTGATAGCGGAGCACAAGCTAGTTTAATTAAAATAGGAGATTTACCTAAAGGACATAGGTATTGGGATAATTCTCTTACCACGTTAGAGGGTATTGCTGGAAATACAAACAGTCTAGGTTATACTAAAATCAATTTAAAAATAGGACATAAAACAATAACACATGTATTTTACATAGTTTCAAACAATTTTAACATTAAGTCTCATGGTATTCTTGGGTACGATTTTCTTAATGAATATGTTAAAATTATTGATTTAGGTAAAAAAGAATTAAAATTCTATTTTCACAAAAAAATTGACATAATAGACCTTTCTCTTACTAATAATTACTCGATTAAAGGCTTGTCAGAATCTATCATTAAAGTAAAAACTGTTCAAACTAATAACACAACCGGTATTATATATGACCCAATAGTAATTAACGAAAACATTTTCATTGGAACTTGTATAACGCAAATTAAAAACAATTATGCATTTGTACCGATTTTAAATACATCAGAAGAAGACGTTTCAATTTCTATTAATAATATTAAATTTGATTCTCTACCACAAGATTTCGAGCTCATAAATGTAAATACTACCAATTGTAATAATGCTAATAACAATAATAATAATAATAGATTAGCTCTTTTAAATCAAAACCTTAGGTTGGATCATTTAAATGACGAAGAAAAATCGTCTATTAATTCGTTTAATGAAAATAAAATAATATTTGATAACAATTTAGCAAAAATCTCCCAGTCCATATCTGGCTTACAGAATATTACAGCTGATTCGGTAGATTTTGAAAATATTATGATTACCCAATCCTTAGTTGAGAATAATATTATATCTCTAGATAAAACCATAAGTAAATTAATTTTAGCCATTATTTTTTCTCAGAGGAATCAATTACATCCTATAGTAATAAAACCAGAACAATTTTTAAACGAGATAAACCATATTTTAACTAAAATACCTAATAACCTTCAAGTACCAATAAATGTAAACCTTGATAACATTAACGAAATATTTAAAATTTTAGAAATTAAGACTATATATAATAATAATAAACTAATTTTTAAAATTAAGTTACCGTTAAGTAGTATTAATAATTATATAATTTATCACATTGTACCAATATTTATTCCTTTTAATAATCAAAACCAATTTATTCATCTTACAAAAAATGTCAAATATCTTTTTACGGATAATCTAATATCGCACTATATCAAATTCGACAGCCTTAGTAATTGTCAATTATTAAATAATGTGTTTGTTTGCAAAAGTGACGCGTTCTTTTCCGGTACAGACAAGGTCCCTATATGCGAAACGGACCTATTAAATAATAAATATAGCCTGCCGTCGACTTGTGATGTTTATATATCACAAATTAGCTCGGAAAGTTGGTATCACTCCTACTTCCCAAATAATTGGTATTTTGTCATGGTAAAGGATACCGTAGTAACTATATCATGCAATGCACACACTATAGTTGAAAAAATAATTATAAATAAAAGTGGAATGCTATCCCTAAAAGAGAACTGCATGGCAATAACACCATCAGTTACTCTTGAGGCTACTCAGTCTCAATTAGAATCAAAATTTGAGTCGATACCTTTGGAGTTTAGTCTATTGAACTCAAGTTGTTGCAATTATATACATAATAGAATTGCACAAAAACCCATACACCTCGAAAGAATGGAAAATGTGAAACTCGACCAGGC